ATGTTATTGGAAAAATAGGACTGGTAGACTTGCTTAACATGGGGTTTTGTTAAAAAAAAAGGGGGGGGGAGCATCTACAAAGCAGAATAAAGCAAAGCACAACAAAATGAGATATGCCAGGCTCTGTGAAAAATGCTTTACAAAAATTAACTTATTTATTTTTTTAAGGATTTTATTTATTTATTTGACACAGAAAGAGAGAGAGAGCACAAGCAGGGGGAGCTACAGGCAGAGGGAGGAGTAGGCTCCCTGTTGGGCAGGGAGCCTGATCCTGGACTCCATCCCAGGACCCTGGGATCATGACCAGAGCCGAAGGCAGAAGCTTAACTGACTGGGCCACCCAAACGCCTATTAATTAACTTATTTAAGTAACTACGAGAAAACAGAAACACAGGAAGATAAATGGTTTGTCCAAGGTCACACTGCCAGTGAGTGGCAGATCTGGGATTCAAACCCTGTCCTCTTAGCCTCAGAGTCTCCAACACGTCTGCTTCAAATGGTATGTTAACAAAGTCCTGACTGGGTGTCCCGAGGGAATGCTGAGTTTCTTAGCCTCTGACTCCTGAGAGCACAGCTAGGAAAATCATCATGGAATAAAATGTCCTCAAAGATCCCACTGAGCCTTGACACTCTAGGATCAACTCCAAGTTGCACTTGCAGATTTTTGGTTGAGGAAAGAAGTGGAAGGAGGTTTGGTTAAGGTATGTGTAACCCCAGTCAATCACTTACTCGAAGCAAAGTGCTAGAAGGTCCTGGGGTGGGGAGGTTAGGAGGAGGGCTTCTCCAACCAGGGACTAAAGCACCTGCATTTCTCACTCCCTAGGCTAGTTACTCTCAGAATAAAGGTGGCTGAGTTGAGGCTAGAGCCAGAGTCCAGGTGGGAAGTGGGGGTGGCTCAGGGGCATTAGCCTTGGGGCTCTTCTTGACCTCCACTGGGGTAGAGTCTCTCTGTTAGCTCAATTGCCTCATAAAACCTCACTGTGATATGGAGGCAGTTTGAGTTCATTTATCCCTCTTGGAAGGTTCACAATGAGTAACTGAAGGAACAGGTGGACGCCAGCTGAAAAGGGAAAGGGGCAGGGCATGGGTGGGAGGAGGGATGGAGGGTCAGATGTGCTTGTAAACTCCCACGAAGGGGAAAGGAGCACTGCTGAGTCAGGCGTCCAGGTGCCAATGTCATCCTGTCCCACACCCCCACCACGCCTGCCTTGCATTTGATGCTGACCTTGGATGAGCAGCTATTGAGGAAAAAACAGTTCTGATGATGCAGAAGGAGGTCAATGGGAAAGGAAATTAGATGGGGCCCCGGGGAGGCTGGCTGGTCCATCCTGCTGGCTCTTTTGCACATCCTCTGGCTTGGAGCTTCTCAGGCTAACTGTAGCACAACCACTGGGAGGGTAGCAAATGCAGATTCCAGGGTTCCCCCCCACCTGCCAACTCAGAACTTCTGGGGGTCAGAGCCCAGAAATTTCTATTTTTCACAAGCCTTCCTTTCCTTTCACAAGACTGCACTGTAAAGAACACAACCTCAGGGCGCCTGGGCGGCTCAGTCGGTTAAGCGTTGGACTCCTGATTTTGGCTCAGGTCATGGTCTTGGGGTCCTGGGATCGAGCCCCTGCCCCATGCTCAGTGGGGAGTCTGCATCTCTCCTTCTCCCTCTCTCTCTGCCCTACTCCTTCTCCCTCTCTCTGTCAAATCAGTCAATCAATCAATCAATCAATCAATCTTTAAAAACAAAATGTTCCAGATCCCATAACTTTGTGATTCCATCCCGGGGTTTTACTTCAAGGAAATGCTTTCTAAAAAAATCATATAAAGAAACTCACTGTGGTCTCACATTTAATGGAGTAAGCTGGGCCCACCAAAAGTCCAACAGTAAACATTATGCATCTATTTCTAATAATAAACATGGCAGCTCCATGGAAACATGGGACTGTGTTTTCAAACTAATGCTGAGCAAAGAAAAATAGAGTGGTGTATTGCATTTATGTAGTGATTATAGCCCTTATTTATCTGCCATAATTGAGGTCTGTGAGAAAGAAAACAAGGATGAGAGAGGAGACAGAAAAGCAAAAGAGGAAGGAAGAAAGCAGAAGAAAAGGAACACTTATTGAGTCAGGGCGATGGGTTACGGAGGATTTGGAAATTTCTTTAAATGCTGTTGACAGTGGTTGGCACTCTCCACAGGGGTCTGTGGCTTTGGGCAAATTACTCCTCTAAAGCCCTGTTTCCTCCTTGGCAAAATGGGGAAAATGACTCTGACTTCATAAACTCCCTTTGAAGAATGAATGAGGTAATCTGTGTAACACACTCAGCAGCGTGCCCAGTGCATAATAAACACCTGATAAATGTAGCCATTATTGCTGTTGCTCTGTCGTCATCAGTATTGAAGAGGGGAAATCCTCACACGCTCGAGGCGCGAGTGGACACGGCTCTAGGCTTTCCGACAGGCAGCAAAGTAACAGATATAAACATAGATACAAAACCCCTTTGTTCCAGGGATTTCCCATCTAGAAATTCATCCTTTAGTAAATAATCTGACATGTATACCAGGGTGTGAAAGAGAACGTTTATCTCAACTTTCCAACCGAGCCCTGGCAGAGAGGCTCTGGCAAAGAAGGGCGGCAGGGGGTAGTGACCAGAGAACACAGCATCACCATTCACAGGAGCGTCCACAGAGTGGGTTTCAGGAAGCGCGCCCCTCGGGCACTCAAAGAGTGCCATGAAAGAGATGGGAACTCCAGATATGCACATTCACGCCACGTTCAACAAAGCCATCTGGGCCAAAGGAATAAGGAATGTTCCATTCCGTCTCGGTGTGCGGTGGTCCAGAAAACACCACGAGAATGAAGAATCACCAAACAAGCTCTCTAGGCTGGTTGCTTAAGTACCTGCCACCACTTTTGGAAAATCTATAGACAGTTAATGTAGATAAGAACTATTTGCTGACTGGGCGCCTGGGTGGCTCAGTGGGTTAAGCCGCTGCCTTCGGCTCAGGTCATGATCTCAGGGTCTTGGGATCGAGTCCCGCATCGGGCTCTCTGCTCAGCAGGGAGTCTGCTTCCCTCTCTCTCTCTCTTTGCCTGCCTCTCTGTCTACTTGTGATCTCTCTCTGTCAAATAAATAAATAAAATCTTAAAAAAAAAAAAAAGAACTATTTGCTGACTGTCAAGGGCATAAAACTGAAAAAAAATTTTATCTCAGAATTATTTGTAATAGAAAAAGTTTAGAAATAACCTGAAAATCCAGCAATAGCTATGTAAATTACAACATACAGACAATAGAATATGAACTAAAAGGGATACGATTTACCTTCATGTCATGATACAGACATGTACCCATATCATTACAAAAAAATGAGGTTACAGGGCTGCCCAGGGGGCTCAGTGGGTTAAGCCTCTGCCTTCAGTTCAGGTTATGATCCCAGGGTCCTAAGATCGAGCCCCGAATTGGGCTCTTTGCTCAGTGGGGAGCCTGCTTCTCCCTCTCCCTCTGCCTGCTGCTCCCCCTGCTTGTGCCTTCTTTCAAAATAAATCAATAAAATTTAAAAAACAAAGAAACTTGGTTACAGCACAATATAGTCTCATTTACATAAGAAGTATATGTACACGTTTTAAGTTCAGAAGGATAGATACAAACTATTATCAAGTGACAGGACTGTTAATTGTTCTGACTTAACGAAATGTTAATATATATAACTTATCAGAAAATCCGTGACAATGATAAAGATGATGAGGATGTGGGTGTGTGTATGTGTGTGTGTTTATGGTCTTCTAAAAAATAAGGCCCCTGGCAGGAGTAAGGAATTCCAAGACTGGAGACCGAACACTGGCAAAATGGGGCAAAGTAGGTTTCACCTGCTCAGAAATTACTGGGTCCCAGAGCTGTGGTGAGGTCTGCTTTAGACAGAAATGATGGGGATTCAAAAAGAAAAAAAGAAAGAAAGAAAGAAATGATGGGGATTCACGAAGAGCTGATTCTGGAAAAGGAGACCGACTTGCAAAAATTTTCATATTTAATAATAAAAAAAGGAAAGTCCTCAGAGAAGTTATGGTCAGTCGAATCTAAGGAGCAGTCCTGTAAGACAGGTGGGACAGGACCTGGAAGTCTGGGGTCTGAACCCCCACCCTGCCAGCTGTGAGCTTCGAACAACACAAAATCCACCGAGCTCCTGGCCTGTGGCTGGCATGTGGAGGGTCTTTGGTGCACCCTGGCAGCTCCTGCTCCAAGCTGCTCCCTGGGCCCCTGGGCTGCTGCCTGACCTTACTGGCATTACCAGCACCTTGCTTCTGTCCTTGCAGGGCTCTTTGCTACAGTCAAACTCATTTTTCCTTTCGTCATGGCCCTTCCCACCTCCATCACACTGTTCCCTCATCCTAGAGTATTGTCTCCTGTATTTCCCACCTTCTCCAACCCTCTGTCTCTCTAAACATCCAAGTCCTATGGTTCCTTCTGGACCAGCATCAAATGCCATCTCCTAGCAAAGATTCCCCGCCCCCCAGCTGCCGGCTTGCTCCTTCCCTGTGCCCCAGGCCACACATCGGCGTTCGTCTAGGGACTGGTCACATCCTGCCTGCACTAGGGTCCTCCACAGTTCTGTGTTTTGTCTCTGAACTAAACTGGAAGTTTTTGGGGGGAGGGTATATGTTTCGTTCATCCATGTCATCTCGGTGCCTGTCCTGCAAGTGGTAGGTGCTCCATGTGCTTTGGTGGATGAATGAGGGGCTGAACAAGTAAGTAAGGGGTGTGCAGAGCATGGCTAGAAGGTAGGGGAAGGATGAAGGGAGGGAGGGAGGGCAGAGGTGGCTGAGACCTTGGAAGCTCTGGCACATCGCCCTTGCTGGGAGTGGCAGAGGGAGCACTCCCCCAGGCGAACAACCTCAAGGCTCCACTGGGCTACGTCCTGCCCACGTTGTAAAACAGCAATTGCTTCCTCTTCAGGGCTGGAGGGAGAGGTGGGGTGACTTAGGGGCCGAGCCCCAGCGTGTGATGGCAGAGTTTATAAGCTGGGGCGCCGGGCCCCTCAGCACCACGACCTTTCTTCTTCATCCTCCAGCTGTCCCAGCAGCATGGCCTTCAGTGGCAAGTACGAGTTCGAGAGCGACAAGAATTATGATGAGTTCATGAAGTGCCTCGGTGAGTGAGAGCATGAGGACCCCTTCCCTGGGTTAGTTTGTCACAGCCAGCTTGGGGCCACCAACCCAAACTCCTTGCGACCCAGAGAAGCTGAGTTACTAGTCCGAGGACACACAGCCAGTAGTTGGTGAGGTGCAGACTTGACTGGTTTACTCATTCATTCATACATACACTGAAGACCTGCTACAGGCGAGGGCCAGCCCGGGTTCCTGATGGGCTGCCTCAGCATGACGTGCCCAAGGTCATGCTGTCAGTTAGGGGCAGAGATCATGAGCACCCAGGACCCAGTGATGAGATGATGAGTGGTGCCTGGGGAGAGGTGACCCAGAGGCCAGGTGTGAGAAGCCATGCATTCATTTGGCCATTCAACAAACATGGGCCTCTTACTGCGCTAGGAACTGTGGGCTGAGATTAGAAAAGCGCTCCCCTTCACCGCTCCGTTTGCAGTGCCCATTGTGAGGAACCCATGGGACCGTGGCCGTGAAACTCCTGCAGAAATCCTGGGGCACTCTCTAAGTCGAGGCAGTGCCACTGTCAAGAGTCAGAGGGAGGCCCCAGGGGACGAGAGGCCCTGAGAGCAGAGCATGTGCGCTCTGGGGCCTTGGGGAGACAAGAGCCCTTCTGAGTCAGTTACTGGGAGTGGCCCAGAAGGAACGGTGACTTGGTTTCACCTACAACAGCCTCATGTAGAATTGCAATGGCTCCAGTCTCAGTGGTAGACCTGGCTCTGCTGTTAGCCTCTGAGGAGAGGCTGGGAAGCCCGTTTCCTGCTCTGGGTCTTCATTGCCTCATCTGTGAAACACCAGTGTTAGAAGACAGTCTTGATGGTCCCGTTCATCTAGGACCCTGGGAGCATGGCAGTGTCTGTTATATTTGTGTTATAGTGCTGTCAGCAGAGCAGCTAGTATTTATTGTCAATTATATGCCAGGAGTTTTACAAGACACAATCACTTTAATTTCATCCTCGCAACAGCCTTGTGAAATGGACCTTATTACCCCCATTTTGTTGATGGGAACACGGAGGCTCAGAAAGGTATCCAAGCTCTTGGTTCATGGTAGAACTGGGATTTGTGCTCTTGACCATCGTGCTAGCCTGCCACCAGGGAGAAAAGCCTTCCCCCAGAGCCACAGGCTGTCAGCAGCTCTTACATGCCGCTCTGCTCATCCCTGGGCCAGGACTCCCCAGTGATGCTATCGAAAAGGGCCGAAACTTCAAGATTGTCACGGAGGTGCAGCAGGACGGGCAGAACTTCACCTGGTCCCAGCACTACCCGGGCGGCCACTCCATGACCAATAAGTTCACCATCGGCAAGGAGTGTGACATGGAGACCATGGGGGGCAAGAAGTTCAAGGTGAGAGGCCACTAGCTGCCCTTCCTTCTTTCCCTAAGCCTCTGGCTAACTTCTTGGTCTCAAGCCTGTTCCCTGGGGCTGCACCCCAAGCTGAGGCTCGGTTCTCGAGTCTAGCGTCCAGACTTAAGCGCTTGAGTTACTCAGCAAGTTAGCCACTCCCCGTTCTTAATGCTTCGGTCTCTAACAGACTCTAAAAACTGTTAACACTTGCCAAGCACTTAATGTATATTCCAGACACCTGTTGAATACTTCACACATGTTAATGCAGTGAATCCTACGAGTTACTATCCCATTTTACAGAGGAGGGAGTTAGGTTGAGCCCTGGGGTTCAGTCACTTGGCCCTGGTCACACAGCGCAGGCAGACCTTCATGCCCAGACAGCCTGGCTTCAGAGACCATAATCATTTGCTTGGGATGCCTTCCTGCGTAGCCTACAGATGCATAGCCCTAGAATCGGACTCTCGTGGGTCCGAAACTGTAATCTTATGTAAGAAAGAAGTAAAAGGTGACTGTCCTCTCTTAACCCAACCTGATCCCGCAGATCTTCCACCGATGCTGAGTCCCCTCTATTGCCCCCAGCCATGGCTGCCACGGTACAGAATGAGCGCTCCTAATGTTCATCTTCTGGCACTTGTGGATTTTAACAATTTCTCAGGATGTCCTTCTGTGTCAGCGCGATTCGATTTGCCTTATTCTTTTTAATGCTCACACAGTATCTTACAGTATGTCAATGCTACCCTTCCTTTAACACGCCCTCATTGATAGACACTGAGGTTATTCACTGGTGGAGAGCTCGGATGGCTGTTTAGGTTGCTTACGACGACAATGCTGCAATCCACATCCCAGATGACATCATCATTATCCTAACAATAAGGATCCTAACCGACTCCACAGTTAACAAGGTGCGCTCCTCACCTGTGGGGCACTGTTCTAAGCACTTTCCATATGTCCTATGAAATTCTTCAGTCTTCTTAGGAACTCTGGAGGAGGTACCGTTACTACCCCCATTTCAGAAGTGAGAAAGCTGAGGCACAGCGAGGTTGAGGGACTTGTGTGTGTCGTCTGTGTCCTGCACTTCCAAGCCAAGTCCAATCCCAGAGGGGACTGGCCTGCATCTGGGGGCCTCTGCCAGCTTGGGTTCCATGTTATGTTTCTCTTCCAGGCCACCGTGCACATGGAGGGTGGGAAGATCACAGTGGAGTTCCCCAACTATCGCCAGACCTCGGAGATCGTGGGTGACAAGCTGGTGGAGGTGAGTGTCTGCTGGTTCCTGGGACGATGATGAGAACACTCTTCTGCCTCCAGCCCTGGCTCTAGGGGCATTTCCCACGTGCCAGGCTCTTTGCTGAGTGCCCGGGGGACATCAACTCGTTCAACCTTCACGATACCCTGCTAGGTAGAGATGTTTCCCTGCATCTTCCAGGTGAGGGCACTGAGGGGCTGGGAGCTGAGTGGCTAGCTGGAGGGCACCTAGCTTCTCTGACAGTGCTGGGAACTGACGCTTGGCGTGACTCTGTCGCCTCAGCGGCCCAAGCGTGGAAGCCTATGGGACCCTCCCCCGAGTTTAAACCAAGGGGGGAGTCTGGGTGGGCCCCGCAAGGGCAGCCACCATGCTGCTCCACTCCCTCAAGGGACTTCAAGCCCTCCCCGCTAGATCTTCTGATTTTTTTTTTTTTAAAGATTTATTTACTTATTTGGGGGAAAGCGCACGAGCAGGGGGAGGAGCAGACAGAGGGAGAGGGAGAAGCAGGCTCCTCACTGAGCAGAGAACCTGATGTGGGGCTCGATCCCAGGACCCTGGGACCATGACCTGAGCTGAAGGCAGAGGCTTAACCCACTGAGCCACCCAGGAGCCCTCTTCTGATTTTTTAAGAGAAGCTGGAACTTTGCACTTCTCTGTGAAACCTCCAGACTACTAAGCTTTGGCAATGAATTAAACCTTTGAAAAAATGCTGGTAGGGGTAACACACACATCTGTGGCTAGACCCTTTCCACACCCGGTGCTCTGTAAACACAGACTGGAGGTGCTGCTCTCCCTTCATCTCACTTCCATTTCTACCCCTGGGGTTCCAGAATTTTCCCCAGGTGAAAGAAATGGATGTGAAGTTAAAAGCAAAGGTAGGCTCTTCCACACTTCGTTCTCCCCTTGGGAGCACATGTCCTGGGCCAGAGCTCCCTGGGGTCCAGTCTGCCCTCCCCAAGACTCTCCAGAAGGGAAGTGATGTGGGAGGTTGGGTTTGCCACACCCTTGTCCCCTCTTCTCTTCTTTATTCTCCCTCGTTTTCTTTTTCCTTCATCTCAAACCCAGCTAGAAGCCGAAGAGTCTCCATGACCTCCCATTATTCCGTTTTTACAGAGGCCACAGAGGCTCAGAGATAACAAGTAACTTGTTCAAAGCCACACAGCTAGTTTGTGGTGGAGGCAGATCCCAAAGGCTGACTTCTAGACTAGGCTCTCTGCCAGCTCTCCCCAAGCTAGTGGGTCTTTAATTAAAAAAAAAAAAAAAAAATCTAAAACTAAAGAGATGCACAGTATTTTAAAATATATATATAAAAGAACAAAAGTGACTCTCCATTTTTTTCCTGGATGGAAACTGACCTCTTAGAAAATCGATAAATGCTTTGGACACATTGTTACATGAAATGTCAGCCAGTGGGTTCTGACTCCCAGAAGCAAAGCTCCCAGCTTGTGAGGTGTGTGGGGAGCACCCAGAGCGGGAGAACCAGAAGCAGGTTGTGTTCAAGAGGAGGATCAATCTTCCCAAACTGAACAAACCTGCTTCCTGATTCCGAGAGGCTCCTAACTATGGAGCCTGTGTGCTGTGAGCAGTGCCCAGAGTTCAGGGTTGTCACGAGCACACACACACATGCATGCACAAGGGCAGAGGCATGCACACGGATTAGGTGCCAGAGAAAAGCTGTTTTGCTTGCCTATCTCCCATTCCTAGAGGCCCAGAATCATCCTGGACACCTCCATCCTTCACCAACAGGGATTGCATTAGGCGGGCATCCATCCTCCCCCTCCAGGTCACCGTCGCTCTAGACCAAGTCCCAGCCTCCTCCCTGCTCGCAGCTCCCCCTCCACGCCATCTTGCTCCCAGTGCCAATCACATGGCCACCCTTGACGGAACTGCTTACACAAGACGCCATTTGCCACCCACTCACTTCTTGTGAGAAGGCTGCCTCCTCTGCTGGGTCTCAGGGGCCTGGAGCCTGGACATAGCACTGCACCTTCACTGGACAGCTCCCCCTTGCCTGCCTTCCTCCAGGGCAGGAACTCTATCTTCCCACCACCAAGCACAAGTGCTCCATAAAAGGTGTGTGGTGAAGTTGAGTGTGGCCTCTCCATCTTAAAGGGGTTACTTGACTCCTCCAGACTTCAGTATTCACATCTCTATAATGGGTACAATCCTACAGCATTGTTGGGAGAATTAAATAGGATAACACAAGGGAAGTGCCTGGAAGTAGGTGAACTTCAGTGGACAGATGGAAGGTTACAATACAAAGAGCCCCATCAGCCCTAACATCTGTTTAGCACGTTTGCCTCGCTGAGTCTACACAGGAGCTCGTGTAGGTGAACTTCAGTGGACAGATGGAAGGTTACAATACAAAGAGCCCCATCAGCCCTAACATCTGTTTAGCACGTTTGCCTCGCTGAATCTACACAGGAGCTCGTGTAACAAATTGGGAAACTGAGGCTCAGAGAAGTGGTGCGACCTGCTCACTTCTACTCGCGGCTGGGACTGGAGGCCTGTCTTCCCCGACTGTGTTCCGTCTCACTTAGGGACCCCTGCAGTGACTCCCTCTTTCTGGCTGCTTCTTTCAGATCTCCACCATCGGAGGCGTGACCTATGAGCGTGTGAGCAAGAGGCTGGCCTGAGCAGCCAGGTGGGGCTCACAGGGGGCCCCAAAGCCACCAGGAAAGCTGGAAGAAGAAAACATTCTGTTTGCTCTGAACCTCTTTGTCTTTGTTTTTGTTTTCTGGTGTCTTGGGGCGGTTTCTAGCTGGGTAAGGGTGGGAAAGCCTGGAGGATGGCTACACAGGGCAAACCTTGGCCCTGAGACCCCTGTGGGCTCAGCAGTGTGGCAGAGGAAGGCCTGAAAATGGACAGCAATACTCCCAACCCCCTGCTGTTCGAGAAGCAGGGTGGGCACACTTCCCGGCACCCTTGCCCCACCCTGCCATCCGCTTCTCTGAGGGTAGAGACACAGGGCTCCTTTAACACACTGACTCTTCATGTGGGCCGCAGCGCAGGAGTATCAGATGGTGGTGGGGGGCACTTCCAGGAGAGGGTCCTGCTGCTGGCCTCCAAGGCTAGCAGATGAAGGAGGAAGACACCATGACTTGGCCAGAAAGGTGTTTTGGCATGGCCGTGGCTCTGCTGTGCATTGGCTGTGGAGGCATCCTTCCGGGCCTCAGTTTACCTAGTGGCACAAGAGGTGGCCAGGAGGACCAATAAGGGACTGAGGAGAAATGAGAGAGTATTAGATGGCAAGCGGGCCATGGGAGTGCCAAGAGGGACAAGAAGGACCTGGGATGTCCTGGTTTGGACAGCAGTGCCTGGGAGACACTGTGAGGGGCTTCAGCTGGCTGGGGAAGGTGGTCTGAAGGTGGTCTGACCTCCTGCTGGGTTCCTGGAGCTGAGTCCAGGATTCTGAGGAAGGCTTTGGGTCTTCCCTGCTTGATTTTGTCTGTCCAGGGCATGGGAGTGGGCACGGGGCGGAGGTGGGGACGGCTTGTGCCCTGGCCAGAGAATCCCTAACCCAGAGCACTGAACGGTCCTTTTCCCATTCTCCTTCCTCCTTGGACCCCCAAGGACCCCTCCTTGACTTCTTGCCCTATATTTTTCTATATGGCAATTCACTTATTTTTGCTACAATAGAAACTTTACATCACTTCTACATTTTAACATCTTTTTCCATAAATCGATGAAAACTATCAAAAAAGCCAAAACTGGACAACAGCTACATCCCGTTAGAGCCCCAAGCCTGCGGACTCCCTAAGTGAAGACAGATGTAACAGGAAAAGCAGCATCAAGTAAGCCACACTGTCCTTGGAGAAATCAAAATTACTGCAAGGCTACTGAAAAGAAAATGTACCCGCTATGAGAGCTGATCATCTAAATTATCTTGATTGTCCAAGTCCCAGATATGGGGCCTTAGAAATTAGGCTTGCTAGTGCCTTGCACAAGGTCTAGCACACAGCAGGTGCCTCATAAGTGCTACCTGACCCAAGGCGCTTCCAGCCCTTGTAATGCACAGCCTTTCACTGTCACAGCCCATCCTTGGTGACATGGCCCAGCTTACTGGCAGCTCCCTCCTGCCTCCTCCCACATTCTGCCCTGAAACTTGTTTATCTTCCCAAGAACAGCACTCAGCCTCCCCCCACCTCCCACCAAGCCAGTACCCGTGCATTCCATTGTTTTGCCAAGACTTATTGCTAATTAAGTGAACTAGGTAAGCATTAAATTAAACTAGCAGTGTTGCTGTTTCCCCTCCAGACTGAATAATTACTCATAATGAGCTTGGATAATAAGTCTCTAAATAACAGAGAGTTAACCATAATTAGGCTGAAAATTGAGAGATTGAGAGAAAGAGGGAGGAGGAGGAAGGGAGAGGAGGGAGAATAGGAGAGAAAGGAAGAGGAGGGGGGAAGGGGGAATGGGGAGAGGGAGGCAGGGAGAGGAGAGGAGAGAGACTGTTCTTACTTTGGCGACTGATTCAAGGACAAATCCAAATGGTTAGCAGGGGAGAAATTCTTAAGCCAGTATTGTTAAAGTCACACACGCATAGAAAAGCAGGACCTCAGAGCTCAACTAGTTTAAACTCTATTTCACAGATACGGAAACAGCAGCTCAGAGAGGGGAAGACAATTGCACACAGTCACATGGCAGGGAGTGTCTCTGAGAATAATGTGGGTTTTGGTATTGCCACCTGACGGAGGCTACAGCTTCTCAATCCATCTTCTGGAGCGGGGGCGGGGGGGTGGTAGATGGAGTAAAGCGAGCTGGAGGAAAGCATCACTCTGACGGCATCTTGGCAGGGAGGCTTTGTCAGGTTGACAGCTTTGACTCTGGGGACACACTGACAGGGTTTGAAATCCCTCCTCCACAGCCTAGAAGCTTTGTCCCCTTGGGGTAAGTTCACCCATTCCTCTGAGCCGGTTTCCTCACCTGAAAATGGGGATAATAATTGTACTCACCTGTAGAGCTGTCATGCTACAAGCTCACTAAATAGTTAGCTGTGGCCACCATGACCAGCCACCATCACCTCCACCATCACCACCGCCATTCCCAACCAGCATGTTGAGAGGGTTAGCTGCTTCCTTTGCTTGACTCCAGGCACGGGCACAAGCTGCTGGCTTTCTGTGAGTCTTACCTTGTCCTTGTGCAACATGGACCAAAAAACCTTTCCTTCCTGGGTCATGGGGGAGTTGCAAGGATTAAGGGTAAAAACCCACGTTCGTGGGCTTCCAGAAAGAAGAGCTTCGTCATTTTGCTGCACTGTCCGAGATGCTATAGTGACTCCCCACTCCACAGGCCTCAATTCGGGGGCCCTGTATCCCAGTCTCTTCGTGACTTTCATCCTGACCCGTGGGAGTGAGTCATTTCTTTCACTCTACGGGGCGGGGGGGGGGGGGGGGGGGGGGGGGGGGTGTAACTGCTTCCCTCCCAGCAAGCTCATCCAGCGAAGCGGGGGCTTTCCAAAGCATCTTCACAGACCACCACTAGGTGGCGCTCTACCACCCACCTGACGCCCCGAGGACAAGGTGGGAGTGTCTGTTAGGGGGGGCGGGGCGAAGGGCGGGCAGTGAGATCTGAGTGAGTGGGTTTTGGTGGCCGAGTGTATGTGTCATCTACCGGTGGCATGGCATTGGAGGCTACATGGGTTCCTCAGACAGGCATTTCTAAATTTGAAACCAATTCCTACCACTTGCCCATATTGAGACCTTGAGCCTTCCTGAACCCCAGTGTCTTGGTCTGGAAAATGGTAATAATACAAGCTCTTGAGAGAGCGAGCATGAGCCAAGTGTCAAATACAGGCCCTGGAACATCGTAAGCGCTCATTAAACAGCTCTAAGGGCCTCTCTTGCAGTTCTACTGGGGAGAATGGGCACACGCAGGGTCAGAGCATTTAGAGCAGGAAGAAGTGTCCAAACTTGGCCGTGCACGAGCATCTCCTGAGGGTCCTCTTAAAAGGATAGCTGGGCTCTGCGCCAGTCCTCCTGAACTGTACTCTTAAGGACGGAGACTAAAGAACTGTCCCTGTGTAGTGCTCCCCAGCCACACAGGACTTTGGAGACTATTCTGGGTCCCAAGCCTCCCATGTTTGCAGAAAGCATGACTTCCTGTGTATCCTGCCCATTGTGTCCATCCAGGGCAGCAACCTGAAATACTGGTCAGAGCTGGCCCAGCAGAAGCCAGACCACTCGAGTTCTTCCTTAGAAGCTAGAGCTAGGTCAGAAGTGAAGCTCAGAAACTCACCTGAGTCCCCAAAGAAGGGAGAGACCCAATTATTTACACTCTTTCTCATAGAACTCACTGTTGAATAATGATACTATACATTCCATGCTTAGTTACCATAAGCCCAAGCTGATAGCCTTCCCATCTTAGAAGTGGGGAGATAAGAGACTCAGAGCAGAGTGGTGGCTTTTTTCAAGGTCATCTAGCTAAGATCAGACAAGCTCGACCTTCCACCTCTGAGGCCCAATGTTCTCACCTATATACCAGAAGTTTCACACTTCCAGCCTAAGAACTATTCTAACTTACAATGTATTTTATTGGTCTTCTATTGTGCTAAGAATTTTTAAAATTTAATTTTAAATTAAATGAAAAATTAGTAGGTTTCCTAGAAAGTACAGATTCCAGTGGCTCTAGGGAGACGCTAGTTTCACCGCAGTACCCAGCGCATCATGCTGTGTCAGTCACCCAGCTGGACTCACTGCGTTACCTGCCTGGTCCTGGTGGGCATCTGGACTTGAGACTCCTGCGAAATGCTATGGCCTTTCTGTGGAAATTCAAGTTACAAAGGTTTTCCCTGAGGAACAGAGAATGAGGTGAGTGAGGGCTGGTAAGATTCTTTCCTAGGCATGTGGTGCCAGGGATGGGCAGAGCCAGTCCACAGGCAGGGTTCCTCCCAGGGGATGCTCTGGGAAAGGCCCAAGCCTGGTCCCAGCTCTCCACCTTCACATGGGGTTCAGGGAAACCCTCCCAGATCCAAGCCTGCTGGGGGAAGACAGATGGAGCCATAAATCACGTTAGCCTAGGGTAGATGTGCAAGAAGCCATTTCTGTATTTCTGTCTGTTGCTGAGCTTGCCTGCCACATCGTCAATCAGGAGAACAAATGGCTAGCAACCCTTTTCTTTTATGAACCCATATCCATTATCCTGTCATGTCTTCCCCACCAGGTGAGTGCAGCGGCTAGCTGGGACCATTACAGAGCCTTTTACTCATCCTAAGCCCTTGAGGTACTACAAGGCGGCAGGACAGATTCAAACTGCCAGGGTGTGAAGTGTGGCCCCTGCCTTCCCCACGCCCCCATTCTCTGATCTGTAAAATATGGCTAATAATAGTTCCTACCTTGTAGGGTTACTAGGATGATTATCAACAAGAGGAGCAAATTCCTTAGCATTGCACTTTGTACACAGTAAATGCTCAATAAATGCTAACAGCTATGATTCATGCCACCGTCACCTTCATGTTCTACTGGGGGAAAGTAGCTGAGGGCACCACCATCAAACCAAGTAAGCCAACTAACAAGATCATTTCAGATGGCTTTAACAGCTATGAAGAAAATAAGAGGAGTAACGAGTGACTAGGATTCTTACAGACCTCTTTGGGAGGTAACACATGCTGAGGCTTCTTAACCTCGCTACTGCTGTTACTTCAGGCTCGACTGTTCTTTTTTGTGGGGGCCATCCTGGGCTGTAGGATGTT